CCAGACTAAGCCTGCACGGCTGAGGTCAGTCCGGCTTGCTCAGTGGCCAGTGGGCCGCCTACCACTACCTCCGGCGGAGCCATTGGACACGCAAATGGAGGCTCAGAGATGTCTTCGTAAACCATTGGGCTTCCTAACTCCGTCTGTTTATCAGGAGCTCCGGAATTAGTAGCCGGACCTTTGTCCAGCTCAGCTGCTGGAAGTCTGGTGGCCGAAGATTCTTCGGACTCGAGAGATTGATAGCACTCAACGATGTCCTCAACGACATCAGTGTATGCTCTGCTGCCTCAGGGCTAACCATAGTCGGCAAATTGGTGCAAGGAGTAACTTTAAACCCTACTTCTGGCTCCGTAGTCTTTGGGAAACGGGTGCACTCCGAGGAGCAATCCGCTCGTGACGCTGTCACAAAGAAGCCTCGACAGGCTCATATGGGGCCAATGTAAACTACCTACAGTAAGATGTCGAGTAATATCGAACTGGGCTCCATTCCCGTTGACCCCGTCAACAAACCGCTTCGAGCAGAGCAACTAACTCAGCTCCAAGAATCCATGATAGATGTCGTGATTGAGCGATCGGGGACTGTCAAGTCGGAGTTTGAGAGATGCGGCCCTCGAGCTGCGTGGCGTCGCACAAACCGCGACATGGTTACGGCTACACGCCGAACACATCAAAGCCAAGAGTGGTATTGATATTTCACTCGTTGAAGAAAGTAGTTTGCCTCGGACACATGTGATTCGGGGCAACTTTACTCAAAGCAGCCAGCTAACCGACGAGAAGATTCTGGCAACCATCGCAGCCCAGAGCCATCTCTCTATGGCGTGCTGGAAAGTCTCACGCAGACAGGTACAAGAGAAGTTTCTGCACTTGGTCAGCGTAAACTATTCAATGGTAAAGCTTATCGCGTCTAAAGGCAGGATCAGACAGGTACAGGAGAAGTTTCTGCACTGGGTCATCGTAATCGACCACGATTCGATGATAAAGCTTATTTAGAGATATGGACACGCGTAATTGCTGTTGCAAGCTACCGAAAGAGGTGGAGGTCACCGAGCCTGCGGAGGAGGCTAGGGAAGCTATGTCCCAGGCATTCTGGAAGCTGGCACATGGCCATTACAGCAGAGGGAGCAGCCGAGGTTAAAGCTCCTGAACAAATTCCGCAGACGGAGACATGCGCTGGCAAGGCACCTTCCGGGCAAGGATCCAAATCACTGCCAAACAGCATGCAAGCAACTGTGCTACCTGTTGCCTCAACAGGGACTGGATCAGTGGCCTCGGGTGTGACGCGACAGCCCAGGTTGAATGTCGCCATTGGGTGACAAGAAGACGTGGCTTTCAAGCCATCGAAAACCACCACTACCGTACGAGCAAAACGGACCGGTGATGTCAGGGAAAAGGGGTCCCGACGAGACAAAAAGGAGTGTCTCGTTAAAGCGTTGCTTCAGCGGATGCAATGAGCACTTAAGGGTTCTACAGGCTAACCGATATCATGCCAAGGGGGCATCGGCCACAATTGAGGTTAGCCAGCGAACGCAAATTCGCAATAGGTCTGCTGCAAAAACCTAGGTTTAGCGGAGGCCAAGTAAGAGGACTGGGTAGTACAGGTAGGTTAATCTAAGCCCGGTTAAGGGTTACTCCCTGCGCCGCCATTTTGATTAACGATAACCTCAATAACACACCTCTTACTCCAGACCTTTCAGCGGCTGTAGTCGCGGTGTCGACGGTGGGTGGGTGCAGGAAATGGTCCTCGCATCCGCCTACTTTCCTGGTGACGTCCTTACTACACCACCATTGGAGGTGCAGCAGCTCGTCGAATTCTGTCGACGTACAAATCGCCAGTATATTATTGGTTGTGATGAGTACCTTTTAGAATTTCTTTTACAAAATAACATAAGCCTTTGCGAAAAGGGATTGCGAACCTACTTTTATTACTGCCGTCATGGAGGAGGTACTGGATCCCACTCTCCGAAGCAGATCACTTTCCGATTGTGTTTGGAATTGGCAAGCCTCGGAAGAAGCATCGCTCTCGGATCATCAACACGTAGTCTTCCAAATCCCAAGGCGATCTAAGCTCCGAGACTTCACTTTCCAGCCCAGGAAAACTGACTGGGCTTTTTTTAAGACCTTAGTAAATGTTAGGGCAGACTCGTTGCTAACCACCATTGACTCAATCGACGAAATGGAGGTCGCAGTAGATCTGCTTAACAGAGCTCTGTTGGAATCCTTCCATGACAGCACAGTTACTTGTTTCACCTTGATGAAACGTAAGGTTCCCTGGTGGCAACTGGATGCTAAGCGCAAAATTGTCAGGAAGCTTTTCGACAGGGCCAAAATGACACATCAGTGGGACGAGTATAAGGCCTGTCTCACATACTGTATTAAGCCTGTTAGGTGCTCGAAGTGGGATTCATGGAGGCGATATCGTGAAACAATAGAAACGTTGCCTGAAGCCTCGCGACTACATACAATTTTATCAAAGGAGTCTTCCAATGGGATAACAGGGAGACTCTAAATCACCTACTTCAAGTGCATTTCCCAGGTTCCTTGGTGGAGCATGATCTGATGGCCCCTGTCTCTCCGGAATACAGGTTCCCTAGAGAAGTCAAAGCAGATCTGGCTCCATCTTTGACAGGGACAAGGTACGGTGGGCAGTAGAGTCTTTTGAACCCTTCAAGCGGGTGGTGATGGAATCTTCCCAGCACTACCTCAAAGAAGTATTGAGGATATCATTGATAGCGTTATCTATATATTTAGGGCTAATTATTGCTGGGAATGCATACCGTATGCTTGGAGAAATGTGTCCGTGTTATTTAAATCATACAGACCTATTAGCCTAACTTATTTGCAATATTTTGTACTACCTTTTAAATTGAGTTTTCTTTAACAGCTATAACTTTTGCTGCTTAGATTTTGTTGCTTTTCATTTTTCTTAAAATAAATCGTGGCATAAAGCTCAATAGCACTGTTAAAGCAAATTTAATTGCGCCAAAATAATAATGATAAATCCGAATACGCCATAGAGCTTATAGTTTCACAGTTGACAGCTGTCAAACCAATTACTAATTTATAATAGTCTTTTTGAAAATACCGCCGCGCTGGTCACAAAATTTATGTCAAATTAAAACTTTGACAGTTGACAGCTGTCAAATGGACAGTTATTTTTTCTAAAAATAAGACAATCTTTTTAAAAACCCCACTTCTTAGATTTTTAGACATGGTGATCACGAATTTTATGTCACATTAAAACTTTGAGAGTGGACAGCTGCAAATGGAATGATAATTTTTCTAAAAATAAGAAAATATTTTTAAAATGCTACTGATAAGGGTTTTAGACTCGTCAGTTACGAATTTTACGTCAAATTAAAACACTGAGAATTGACAGCTGTCGAAGGGGCTTCCAATTGCTCTAGAAATAAAGAACATTTTCCAAGAATTAAACGAACTGGCCTTAAGGCTCACTGATATCTAGTTCTATACCAGATTCAAACTAGTTGACAACTGTCGAATTAACTGTAATTTTCAGTTGGTAACACAATATATTTGTTTAGCAAAATTATTGATTTCTTGTATACGAGGGTACATATTTAAAACGAATTTATGATCAAATAATAACAGTAATTATATTTATAAATGGAGGATAATTGGGGCCCAAACAATTTGACCTAGACCACAATAGTTTTTTTTTTAAGATATTTGGTTTATAAGAAATTTATGATTTCCAAAACTTCAGTGTTCTCATTTTTAAACAAAGTTATTCGGGTTTGAATTTTTGAAAATATCGGAAATAGCCGCATCTGATAAATTATATGATGCTAAATCTATACATATCGCACACCGTCTTCAAAAGAGTCACAACTCAAAATAATACGTTTGTCAGAAAATGCGAATTACACACACACACAAATTATAACAAAAATTTGCTCCAGCTTTAGCTGAAAGGTATATAAAAGCTCTGTGTACATTTTTAGCGCATAATCTCAAAACTGTCAAATTTTAAGTTGTGACTCTTTTGAAGACGGTGTGCGATATGTATGTAGTATAAAGGAATGTCGAGATTTTTGTACGCGCTAATCTCGAAAACTACAGAACGGATTTGGACTGATTTTCTCTAATATACTCTGTATCGATAGGAGAGTGACCATTGGTATTTAGAATTTTTAGTGTTGCCACCGCTGTTGTCGGCCGCTGTGGTGTAGTGGTACAGTGCGCGCTTCCACTCCGCAACGCCAGGGTTCAAACCCTGGTCAAAGCAACATCGCAAAAAGAATAGAAAAAGGTTTTTTCGTAACAGCAGTCGACCCTCGGCAGGCAATGGCAAACCTCCGAGTGTATTTCTGCCATGAAAAACAGCTTCTCATAAAAATACAAGGCGCACGCCACAAATCGGAGGAGAAGCTCGGCCAAACACTAACATATGTGTAAGCGCCAATCTATTACACTGTGAGACAAATGGTAGGGGTCAGTGATCGGGAAGGGTTCAAACTACCGGGGAAAGTTATATCGGTCAAAAAGAAGTTATACGTGTCCCGGCGTTTCGCTGGTGAAATTGTCACCTTTGGTGGTCTTTTTTTTTGACATAACTCGAGAACCACTAGTCCGATTTTGCTCAAACAAATTTAAAAAAATTAAAAATTACAATTCCTTTAATCTGTTCATATAACGTTTTTCTATATAATTATATAATCAACAGTTTTGCCGGTAAAAATAAATGTATGAAGAAAAAAATTATTTTTTGCCTAAAATATTAAATTTTTTTATTTCTTAAACTCATAAAAAATCCAAAACGGAAAACAGTCAAGTCGTATTACTTTCACGCAAAGTCACATAACCTTTAAGCAAAATGAGACATAGATCATGAAAATCGATGGACGCGTTTCGCTTTTATTCACAATTAAGTGAAGGTATCTCATTTTGACAAGAACATTGATTTTACGTTTCAATGAATTTGGATAATAGTTATTATATATTATTTATTATTAACACGTAAAATTAAAAATTATTACAGGTAATTATTAGGTTATTACATAGATACATAGGTTATAAAAATCGATGAACGCAAAACTTATTTTCGTTTGTTTGCGCCCTTTACTTTCTTGCGTGGTGGTTCGCCCACTTGTTCAGAGTCTGTATCGGATGAGGATCTATCTTCATCTGGAAAAAATTAATTGTTTTTAATCAGTCAGTTAACTTCATTTTTGTGACTTACCCTCGGAGGAAACTCCCATTGTATATTCTCCTTCTTCATCTTCATTGTCGGGATCGTACGTCTTTTGCGACCACCAACAAATTTCAGCCACCAGCGAATCGAGCCTTTTGCCTTTATATCGCGTTTCCATTGGCATTGGCATTTGATGGAAGTGCTCGCCATGTTCATCCGACTCTGAGGCTAGCTGCTTGCTGAAGTATTCGAGATGGTGATGCAAGAAGTGAATTTTGAGGGACATATTCACTCCAATTTTCTGGAAGTAGTGCAACATCTTGGTCACAAGAGCGGGGTAATTGTGTGCTCGCGAACTTCCCAAAAAAATATCGTATGACTTTCTTCACTGCCCTCCACGCAAAGTAATCATTACCGTCTAAAGCAGACATGGGCAATTTTGCCCGTATGGGCTTTTTTGCCCATATGGGCAAGCGAGCCCATTTCGCGGGCTAGATCAGGGGAAAATCATGGGCAAACGGGAAGGGGGCAACAAATCTTACTAATACACGTATAGCAATGAGAGCCACTACACACGCATTCTGGAGTAAAAAGGCTCACTCTCCCAAACGTACGCCACATACACTCCTCGTCATTTGAATAGCTCAACTTTTTAATATTTAGTATTTACACTTTTAATTTTGTTTATTTAATATTCATTACATCCGATTTTAAAACTTTATACAGAGTTAAAAAAATGTCAACAAAGGGGTACAATAAAGTGCAAGATTCAAGGTCTGTAAAATAGCGGTGATTTTTGAAAATTTTTTTGGTGATAGTGCTGCGCGTTTTCTCTCATACAAAGTATGCTCGACAAAACTTTTATATGGAATAAAATGCGCAGCACTGTCAATAAAAAATAAATGAATTTGAAAAATCGGGGCTGTTTTAGAGTCACTTCAAACTTGCACTTAATTACACTATAATTGAATGGGCTACAAAACTGCATATCAGAAATTTTTCTAAAAATATTATTAACTTATTCACTGCAGGTCATTAGGATGGCACACTCCTATGTTGACCTTTTTTAAGAACTGTTTCCAGCTCTCGAGAAAAACGAAAAAATCATATAAAATGCTGTCCAAGAAATGGAAAATAAACTTTCTTTTAAGTTTTAGTTTGTAAAAAATGTTAAAACTGCATTTACCCGTAGAATATGCTATATCGTCACTAGACAGGAATAAAGGCGCGAGCTCAAAAGTTTACGGCAAAAAAAGACGCATAAAAAAATTTTAGCGTCAAAAACTCTTAACATACTTCGCCAAAGTTTTTTATAAGCATCTTTTTTCGCAAAATTTTTTTTAAACGCTTTTTTTCACCGTCAAAACACCAGCGCGCCTTTATTCGTATGTAGTGACGATATTTTTACAAAAAATTTATATTAAATAAACAAACGGAAAACTGTAAATACTAAGAATTGAAAGGGTGTGCAATTCAAATGACGAGGAGTGTATATGAGCAGATGTGATCACTACCCCAAGTAAACGCGAGCTGAAAGCGTGATTGTGTTAGTGTGCCAATTACGTTTGAATGAATTTGCGTTCGCTTTGTTACGCTCTCGGATGTATTTGCATGTGATGCTTACGCTCTTTAAGCAGGCGCTCACTCTCTGTCCATGCTTGTTATGAGCAAATTTGACATCGATATAACTGTTGCCAACTTGGTGCCTTTCGCAAGAAATTAAGTGCGTTTAGGGAATTAAAAGGCGAAAATTGTTTAGTTTAGCGCTTGTTTTGTTCTTTGGCGCCCTTTTCAAGGCAATTTTATAATAAAAACGTGATTATATGGTGACATTGTATTTGACTTACACATATTTTAGTGTTTGGCCGAGCTTCTCCTCTGGATAATATGCTCCAAGATAATCCAAACGCAATATTTTCACACAGTCTCTATCACGGAATCCATAGAATATTCTGCTAATTAGCTGGGTGTGCGCATTTGTACAAAAGTAAGCAATTGCATGAAAATAAAGCCTCTAGAAAAACCAAGTTTTGGAAATTGTTTTACGAATAAAAAAACATTTTGCAAATTAAATTTATTTATTATTTTATTAGTTGGAAATATTTACAAGTTTCATTGTGTACATACAGCTCATACAGCTTTATATGCGAAAATACCAATAAACACAGCAACACAAAATTGGTGTTTTTTTTTGGGGAAAATTGCGCTATTTTCAGTATTTTGGTGCTTTTTTAAATAAAAAACTTGGCGATCAGGGCTGCCAACTTGGCTCAAACCGTGCCATTTTTGGCCCTATTTTACTTGAAATGGCACTGAATTTTTCAGTTTTGCACAAAGTGCCAAAATGGCGCTTTTGAAAAAAAGCCAAATTTAAATACATTTTTGTGAAATCCTTTTTCTCAACTAAAATTTTCTAATTTCTATAGTGTATACAACTGGTTTATCTTACTTTGACATTGGGCTTTTGTTTTAATTTGTCTAATTTTAATGCTAATGGGAAGAACTAAAGAGAATGACACCTTTTTTGGCACTCTTAATTTTCTATTTGGCACGTTTTAGCACTTTTTTATCCTCAATATGGGACTTCATAGCTATGTATGTTTGGCAGCCCTGTTGGCAAATTTGATC